CTAGTCCCAGGCAATCTGATAGACGGGACAGAAACAGAGATAGAGATTACGAACGGCGGAGAGATAGGAAAAGATAACAGCTAGTTTATGAGGGCGAATTGGTGAATGGTCTGTGCCGATGCACTATGTAACGTCTTATTTTGTATCGTTATAGCTCTCTGTAACCACATTTCCCTTTTCAGAGGATGATGATTTGGTCTATCGGCGGAAATTCAGTGGGCAACAGTACACGAATAAATGCCCAAAACGGCGAACGCCCACTACTTCCTGGAAAATGGAGAGCGAATTTAAGTACTTGCTTAAATCATACGCGTTGCTGAAATATTGGGTATGTATCACAAGCAAAGTCAAGGGTGACTAACAAATAGTCCTGCAAAAGAGATGAACATAATCCATTGACGCGTGAAGAATGTGAAGATGAGAACGCGACATCATGCCCGTGCCTCCGTTAAGCTCTTGTATTTCAGTCGATGACCCAACAGAGGAGCAACATATCCGCCAAGTATTTTAACAAACTGAAAACCCGATCAGTGAATGCAAGTGACTTTAGCTCCTGTTCGAATTGGAATCGGCAGTACTTACAGCTTTTTCCAGCCAAGCAACATGAACTGGAAACACAGGATACCCATCTCCGTGATAGAATACCTGCATCACTGACAGCAAACCTCCTGAAGACAAACCTCCCGGTATCGATAACATGTTTCGGAAGAATAATTCTTTCGTGTCAAATTCCTTTGAAAGTGTATCAGTTGAGAGGCAGCACAGAATAAGAATGAGATACAGACAGAGGGGTTCGTACGTTCGGTGACCACACAAGGTACTCCCTTGAAGCTTTCCAGAGCATGAGGGACACCTCTTGGTACAAAAGCCTCTCCGCTTTCGGGTGTGTATACTTTGGTTTCTCCTCCAAGAGTTACCTTGAGCTTCCCCTCGAGGACGGTGATAATCTCATCATGGTCTTCGTGCCAATGGAGGGGGACCTGAAAGATGTCGTCGTCTGCGCCTCCTCTCGATTTGATGATGCGTAACTGTGGCTCGAGTATCTGATAGCAAAACAAATATCCAAGTTAGGAGCAATAGACTTTCGCGATTGGCTACTTCGAAGCCCGAGGAAAGGTAGACGTACAAAAGTGAGTCCTTTCAGATACTCGAAGGGATCAGAATACCCAGACATTTCTTAAGGTAGAAGCTGAGTGTGTGCGGGTAGGCCTTGTCTCGAGGTATGCATAAACTTAAGTCTTTATATATGTTGGTTTCAAAATTCCAGGGCAGTCTGATTAGCGTGGATCGAGTTGTAACGCTCCTCGTATTCCGGGGCCGGATGGATTTCGGGAGAGCGAACCCACAAACCCGTTGAGCGAAACAAGACGTTTTCGAACTTCCCCATTGAATAATCAGCGCACAGAGCTACTGAATTTGGACACGCAAGACTTGATTGGTCTTGGAAAAAAACATTGTTACCCTACACAACTTGTTTGGTCAGAAAACTGAAAATGGAGATCCCCGACGACTCGGATGCTTCTAGAGATTCAATGAGTCGATGAGGGAGTCATGAATGAAACGATTCTGGGATGCATACCTGGGAACCCACCAACATGTTAGTTGTAGCTATAGAATATTTTGTATATCATTGATGACCATGAAAGCTTCGTTTCAAGTGGGTCGGGCATAATTTCCGAAAGACGTGATCTTGACCACTCGGCGTAGGGGAAAACATATCCAATCTATGGAAAGTATATCTGGAAAGGGTCAAGTAGCGTCAAGTAGCGTCAAAAAGATTGACGATTACTCCCTGGCTGGGAGTCGAACCCAGCTTTCGCGCGCCACTCAGATATTATGACAGGCGCGTGTACTAACCGATATACTACCAGGGAGTGAATTAACGAAACATTGTGGGAATTAATCCTCCTGCAGTGAAAGCAATGATCTTACTTGACTTGTTTCTCTTCCCGAACATTGATGTTCCCCTTCTACCTATCCCATCTGCGTCAGGCGCCTTATTTTACTCCTGGCGCTCTCGGCTTTCATCGATCTCCCCATCTAATCTCCGTCCTTTCACGCAAACTGATGTCGACTGCCACGACACGCTCAAATCTATCTCTACCGCCTCCAGAATCAGATATACCAATATTCACCACAGTCGCTTCATATAGAGAATGGCGACGCAAAGCGTTCATCGAGAACAGATCAGTCGGATTCGTACCAACGATGGGCGCTCTGCATGAAGGACATCTAGGTCTCGGTGTGTATATCTATTTCATTCATCTATACCATCTATTGATCTACATCGATCCATCATCATTCATTCGTAAACTAGAGTAACGTTATATCAGTACTAACAACTCTGCACTACAGTCCGTAGATCCTTATCCGAAAACGATCTCACCGTTCTCTCCATCTTTGTCAATCCCGCTCAATTCGCTCCGCATGAAGACCTGGAGACGTATCCTCGTACGCTAGAACGTGATTTGAAGGTACTTGCTGAGCAACAAGTTGTCGCGTCGAACTCTGACATGAGCTCAAATTCAATTCCCACTTTGGATTCCAACCAAGTCAAACGACCCTCTGCCGTCTTCCTACCCAGCGTACGCGAAATGTACCCGGGTGGTATAGAACAAGAAATAGTCAAGCAACGCGGAACATTCGTCGAAGTCACAGCTTATGGTGAACAGATGGAAGGGAAGAGTCGACCAGGCTTTTTCCGTGGTGTAGCGACAGTGGTCACCAAGTTATTCAATGTTATACAAGTGAGGACATTACGCGAAATCACCTAAATTTTGAACTCACACTACTATATGCATAGCCCACGAACGCTTACTTTGGCCAAAAAGACATCCAACAAGCTCTTCTACTCCGACACATGGTCACGGACCTTCTTCTCTCCCATCCCTCTCCAGATCACCTACACATCGTACCTACAGCCCGTGACCCATCTGACAACCTCGCTCTATCGTCAAGGAACGCCTACCTGTCACCTGCCGGACGCAAAGTCGCGCCAACGCTATATGCTGCGCTCAAGGCTGCAGAGGAGTGCTGGCTTGCTGGAGAAGGGGATGAAGGAGGAAAGAATAAGAATAAGAAGGAATGTGTGGAGATTGCTCGGGCACTTGTTGAACGGCGCATTGAAGAAGCGCGGTATCATGGACTGGACGTGGAGATTACGCTTGACTATATCGAGATGAACGACGCTGGAACCTTCGAGATCTTGGATGACTCTGACACACGTTCGTTCAGAGGTAATGAGGCTGCTCCGGTGATTTTGAGCGGGGCAATGTGGGTTGATAGGACGAGGCTGATAGATAATCTGTTGCTGGGAGATTTTGGTACAGTTGTGCGATAGAGTATTCAAGCTTACAGTAGGTATAATGCCTGAGTAGAGTTATGAATACTTAGTTGAATTGATATATGTATAGGTCCCTGGTAGTATATCGGTTAGTACACGCGCCTGTCACTACAACTTCGTCTGTAATGCTTTGACGCGCGAAAGCTGGGTTCGACTCCCAGCCAGGGAGCAAAGATATTTTGTTTTTGGGGGGGTCAAAGTTGATGGTAGTGATCTTCACGTTTTGTCTGCCTAACCTTGTGATGTGATCTGTTTGTTTCTCTGAAATGTATATATCTCACACGAGTAATCCAAGCTTATCTTCCCATCCTATGCATTGGTCATTTTCTAGATGTCTACGGTCCAACTACTCTTCCTCATTCAATGCGTCCGTTTGCTCATCAGCACATTTTCAGCGTACATCCATTCACTTAATCTTCCTTCCAGTTATTTATAGCTTGCCCTTTCAATCTTTGGTTGAATATACCAAGTGGAGCTCTCGGCTGCTTTTGATGGTTATTAACTTCCTTTGCCAGAGGAGTCTGACCAATATCGACAGCGGTAGCGACACGATGCTTGGTGGCATCAGAGTCGTCAATTTTGGGAGCAAGTCGAGAATATAAAAACCACGCTCAGCGATTTAAGAGGAGGTCAACCGTCAAGGCGGAAAATTCAAGAGAAATAATCAATCGATCGAGCAAGAGCGACGACAGAAGGGACCCTCCAACAATTTTCAAATACCATGGTTATTGCGACGAACAATAGTCATCTCAGCCCCAGGTACATAGTATCTATACGGCGACTCACCTTCGAATTCTGCTTGTTGACTTTTCAGGATTGCCAACTTGAATCGAGTTGATTAAACTTTCGTCAATAGGATAACAAGCAAATTTTGGGGGCGTCGATCTTTTTCTGGTTTTTTTTTTTTTTGGAATATTAATGCAGGGAAGCGCAGGGAGTGGTCAGATTTGCTCGTCTTTCCATTTAGGTCAAGTTACAAGTACAAAGCAGCGCAAGAAAATCATTACGTTGAATAGCATGTCACAGGGATTATCGACGCGCTGCAAACTTGAAAGAGGCAAGAGTATGCAACAATTCTCGCCGTGTCACACGATATCAAGACAATGCTTTTATTTCTAGGACAGGATATGTACGATGCTTTTATTTCTAGGACAGGATATGTACGGATCGTCAAGCACCTCAGAACAAATTTCCAAGTGGCGAGAAAGGGTCGACAGAGCATCCAACCCACATCGTCCCCGCTGCTCAAACGATGTATTATCTATCAGCATCATCTCATCGCACATGGTCCCACCCAGGATCACCCAAGCTACAGCCTCCTTACCTCCCAACTCCCGCGTGACATGGTCCATCTCGACGAAGTCCAACTTGATGTCCATATTGATCAAGTCCTTGACCCCTTCGCCTCTTGTATACGCTGTTCCGACTTCATACCCAACACTGTTGTTGAGTGTCCAATGAAGGACCCACCTGAATGACTTTGTAACGACCTAATAGGCCTTGGTCAACTTTTCACTATTCCATCTGCTTACTGTAGCCTCCGAATTGAACGAATATTCACAGTTGCTTACCGGCTTTGACCTTTACATTTCCTTTACAACTGGGCAGCAGAGGGCTGTTGGAAAAAGATAGAGTACTTGGAGTCGATAGGAATCAATCCCTGGTAGTATATCGGTTAGTACACGCGCCTGTCATAATATCTGAGTGGCGCGCGAAAGCTGGGTTCGACTCCCAGCCAGGGAGTTATTTTTTTGTGCGTATATATCCCCTTTTCTTTTAGATTGTTGCTCTTTTTTCAAATTACAACCTCGCGCACTTCTAGCTTATCCCCTACCCGCAACACAGCTGAGTGTCAATTCATTGAGATATCATTGTACTACTGCAACAAGTAGCGTTCGTATATGTATAGTCCCATGTTGCCTATGTCCACTTCGATTACCGCTACGACTCCCTTCCTCACTCTATTTCCCTAGCACCACTCCTACTTCGCACAGCCCAAAATTCAAAACGATGATCTCCCACCTCCGGATGACCTCGTTCCACATACCCATCCCCAAAGAAAACCCGTAGTGCAAGGTGACCTTGAAACACCTCGACGAGCGGTCTACAAACATCCTTCCATCCCTCATCATCGACATCATCCGTAAACCCACACCACACTCTACTAATCACAAACTCCCCAAACGAATCAACGATATCACCGATTGAGCCGTCGCCTATAACACATGCGCCAGCACAGAGGCGTGGTTCGGGAACGGGAGGCGGTGAAGAGGTGGAGGCAGATGACGATGAGGATGTCATCTCAGTTAACATATCAACATCCAAGCCCTTACGGCGCGATGTAGGTCCATCTCCGCCGACAGTTTCTCGTATGTCATGTAATCCAATTCGGAGGCATTCATTGCTGGCTGGATCTCTGATTAGATCGGACTGGACGTATCCATGAATTCCGTTGAGACTTGACAAGGGTATACGGTCGGACTGATCAGGAAGAGAACATCGTGCATTTGGCGTGGGCGAGGTTACCACAGTGTGCCCAGAATCCGAAAGAATTCTGCACAAGGTCCAATAATGATCGTTTGAAAGTGCTTCGGTGAACTCAGACTCGTGTCGCCTAGAAACGTTTGAGAAGTCTGAAGGTATCAAAGTCGAGGCGGTCAAGAATAAATTGAAGTCTCCTGAGTATCGCGGAGGTGGTGGTCTTGGCAGTATTGGTTGAACGACAAACTTTAAGTCGTTTTGAGTGTTTTGGTGTGGTCTGTTGGAATGACTATTGGAGGTAGGAGGGTTTGGGCTCGAATTCGAAAGAGTATTGACTGCACGTAGTGGCAATGACTTGATGGGGCGCAGTAACAGCGCGGCTTGTGAGCACGATCCGGATACGTTCTCTACTAGCGGAGCATGCCTTGGATGTTCGACAGGTGCTTGATAATCAGTCTTGTGAGGAAAGTGCTATATGAATAATTAGCCATCCGGGCTACGAAGAAAGATATAACCATGTTTGAATGCCACACGCACCGGGGAACACGAATGCACGTCGGAGATAGTCAGAGTAGTCCGCGCCCGTTTCGTGGGCCTACAGTCAGCAGCATCATGGCCGTCATTAACAGTATCAACACCCATATCCCAGAAAGTGGTCTCTCTGAGTACATCATGTCCATGATTTTGAAGGAACCGTGACAGTCCGGTAGTCACCATCGCACAGCTGGTCTGTCTTCTTGTTATGTAGGTAGCAAAAATTCGTCACCAAGGTCCTAGACGCGTCAAAGAAGAGTGAAGAGCGCACTGTTTGCCCGATAAGAAGAGAAATCGAGGAGGAAGATTTCGACGCGTCGCTGTTTTGTGCCTATTGATGATAGGAGTCGACAAAACAGCTTAAAGCGAAGTCAATAGTAGTATATAGATGACCAAGTGTCAGTGAACGATGACAATGGTGAGGGATTGGATTGCGCGCAATGAGACGTTGTGGCAGGCAAACTGAAGGGCAAGAAAGGGGTCGTTTCCCACGAGGTCGCGTATTCACAATGTTCTTAACAAGCTGGGTACAGCAAGATCACCCCTGACACTCTCAGTCTACCATATAATAGAGCTCCTACAGACTTTCCCGCAATCACTGGCGCAAGAGTTCGAGTCCAATGTCTTTTCTGTGCAAATAGCAAGAGAAATTTTGCCTGAATGAGGGTTGTCTAGGGTTGTCTCGATGTTTATGTTGAGGGAAACTCAACAGAGGGCATTAATGTTACTCACAAACAGAGCTATACTCTTCTGTCATTCCTTTATGAGTTCGAAAGGGGCGGTATACACAGCAGCGAAAAGCCTTGTCGCTTTACTACGCGTAGTTCTAGCGCATAAGCGAGCTTGCCATACGAGAGCCTTACTTTTAGCGGCCACCACAATAAAAGCCCTTATCGAGCCTTGACCACTGTTTCCCGCGCTGAGAAAATATGGACCTTGAATACTTACCCTTTTATTGATGTGACTCATGCTGCGCGATATGACCGTGCAATCTGCTCTCAATATTCCCATAGTTGAAACCTGATATGTTTATCAGCGTTTGTAAGTTTTTGCGGCACCGACAGTGAGGTACGAACGCGTCTCGTCCTCGGCGTTTTTTACAGCAGCTTTCCTCCAATCGTTTTGTGATTTTCAGCGCGACGACGATTTGCACCCATCAGCCAACCCTCCGTCCTATCTGCTATGACTTGATTCGTCGTGCTTGGAGAAATGGTGTTTACCGACCCATGAACACATTCGCGAATACAAGCACCAATAAGGAATAAGCACACCCAACCTACACCAAAATTGTTCAGATCATTCATGGTCCACCTCTTAACCTCAGAAATTTCAGTATTGATGCCAGTTTTCAAAGCGGATGAAATCAAATGAATCGAGCTCTTTTAACGAAAGTCTCTTCATGTAATAAACCTTGACCTCCTTCTTATGCTCCGTTTCATTATTCCTGTACACCACCGACGTGAGCCCCTTCATTAGATTCGGCAACCTATATTTACGTTGGAACGGCTGTCTGTCCAAGTCGAGGGTCCTGATTGAGCTCGATAAGATGACCTTGATTCATGTTTCATACCTTCAAAAGCTTCGGTATGACTGCGTTTCAGCAGATTGCTCTTTATTTTCGATAATAAACAGGATACCTTATGGCTACACAGGCTTGCTTTTGCTTCCAGCGTCCGGGAGTGATCTTGAGACAGCTAACGAGCATCTGATACACACTCATTGGAAAGTCCATCAAAACGCAGCCGGCCACTTCTTCGGAAGCTTTCTCAACTTATAATGTTCGAGTCGATCATCTCCCTCGAATTTAGTCACCAACTTCGGTCTTCGCGCATCTTTGTAACTTTTGGGGCTTCACTCACTCTTTGTCCAAAAGGTGTTTCGTCTTAAGGACGGTGATCCTTCCCATCGAAATGATCAAAGCTCTTGAGCACGCTTCGGAGGAGTTGGGCATAGGGCGCATTGTTTGTTAGGAACGCATTTTCGCCTTGGATTTGATGAAGCATTGACTCAATGATGCCAATAGCCGTATCCTGAAAGACCCTAGAAGGACATCGAGAAGCTCACGAGCAATTTCAAAGTTTAGCAATGAGCCGAATTCGATTCCACCTTAAGGAAAAGATTTGAGGATGGCTTGATTTTCGTGAATTCTGTGTATATTTCTCTAATAAATACTTGTATCAGAGCTCATGTGAAGTTGACCGACACATCAATGGACCTTGTTGTCAGCACAAAGAACCTTATACGAGGGGTGTTCCAATCGCGCTTGGCGTACCGCATGATAGGGCTGGGAAGGTCAATCATCATTTAGGTGGTCCTTATAGCATATAGGTGCTTTGCAAGCAGTACATTTCAAGGGCTTTTTTGGCGGTTCAATTGTTTTGTTTGCACGATACACACGCCTCTTGGATATCGAAGTCAAACTCAGCAAGTATGGATTCGTCGAGTTTTTCAGCTTTACTTCAGTCTTGTGCAGGCTTGATGAGTTACCAAAGTATGACGAGCTGTTCATTTGTGGAATATATTTGTAGTGTGTTGTGGATGCTGGAGAGGGAAGAGCCGAGCAATTTTAGCGCCCACTTAAGCGCTTAAAGTAGCTGAATGCTCATATTTACGCATCTACTTAGTTGTCATCGAGGGTAAGTATTTGTGGTGTCGTCGTTTGCTTGATCTTTGCCCGAAAAGCAGCAATAGGCTTTCCTGTTGGTCCCCCAGGGGAAACCACACCGCGGTGTTATACAGGCACGCAACAGACGTCGAATGCCTCTCTCTCGTCCGAAGTGAGCTCTTCACAACTGGTCGAACATTGGGGACATTCGTGACAAAACATCCTGGAGTCGGAAAGTGGCGGATGGTTGCAACTTTCTCCGCGTCGTAAAGTCTACATAGTCAGGAGCAGTGACCTAGGCTTGTTTAGCTTTGGGTTGATATCCATGAAATCTCTTCCGGTGGCGTGTTAAAGATCCGGGGTCACTGGTTGCAAAGTCACAATCGGGACATGTTTTCGATTTCTCCTGAGTACTGCGGCGAGCAGGTACAAGTTCAAAAACGATGCCATCAAAAAAAATACAACCGGTAGACTCACTGTATACGGTGATGAATGTCGACGTTGCTTCTCTGTAGACTCTCATAGCTACAGCCAGGCCAAGGGCATTTGAATATGCTACATGTACATGGAGCCCTCAGCAATCGCAAGAGAGAACTTAAGATATGCCAGTGATTACTGACATTTCATCCCTCTTCTCGCTGTGGATACGCATGTGCCGAGGGAAATCTTGTCTACGTTGGATCACTGCTTGGCAGATTTCACATTGAACGGGTCCCTCTTCTGGCTATGGAAGAGCAAAAGTTGCAATCCTGAGGCTCAGACAGATGTCATTGAAGCCGTTACCTTTGATGAAGAGGCACGAGGCATTCTTTCTCAATACTGTTGATGATACTCGGGTTTTAATAGAGACTGAGCAAAGCGAATGGCGCACACCGCACGGAAGGAGGAGCGTTGACTGAATAAGCGAAACATGGACACTCGACTTTATAAGTGTTTTTGCAATCCTTGGTCGATTGGTGTGGGAGTTGCTGAAGGACTAAGCGTTTCTTGCCTTTTTAGGAGTGTCCGAAAAAATTGCTTTTTCAAGGAAAAACATAGCGCTTCGCATTCAAAACGGTTGCGAGTTTGAAATATTGAAAGGAAAAGAGAATGTCCTTCTGGGGTAAAGTTTGTGCGATTGAAA